GTGATTCAAGTGATTCAACCTCAACCAAGTCGCATACTTACAAGTGGAAACAAAGCAGGCAGCTAAGGGGAGCTAGTCGCTGTCGGCGTAAATGAAGATGATGCTAGGCGAAGTAGACAACAAAAGCCCAGCGTACGATCGAGTGAGCAAAGTAAAAATTGCAACAATTTATAATTTTGACAGCTTAACTAATGTTTTGAGATTTGCTTGGCGTTCACTCGCTACAGTTGAGTTTCATACAAGCTTTTGAATGTAGCGTTAAATTTGCTGGTTTGGTTGGCTGGAGCATCGAAACTTGGAAGTCGGAAGATAAATATTTCGCACTATGGCAGTGTGTCAGTGTGCAATGAGGTATGTATGTATGTTCGCTAGGAATGCAACAACAACAAATGCAACGCTGAATAAAACAATCGGAACAAAACAAGAAGCGCAAATAATCTCGCGAATTGGATGGAGTTCATGTTCCCCGATGCTGCATTACTAGTTGTAATTTTTATTAATTTTTATTTACCTATAAACAAAGTGTGTGAGCGTTTAAGTACGTATGTATACACACTAGGTATACGACTTTTTTCTAGATAGGTATGTATACCTCTGTAGAGTGATGAAAAACCAAGAAAAATAAGTTTTTTATCAAAAGTGGTGCTGGGGAAAAAACATAAATATATATATACAGGTGTCCCAGACCACCCGTCTACCCCTTTTAAAATAGAAGAAAATGTTTTTTATTGGAAAACTCAGGAATATGAACTACCAAGTGGGAAATGCTTTATCTTTTGATCATATTACCAACTTCCGGTTTCAGTCAGAAGTGGGTTATACTGACCGGAAGTCCACTTTTTTAAATGGGATATACAAGAGTTTCCCATTGTTTCGGATTCTGCGAAGAAAAATACAGAAATTTTGTAGGAAACTTTTTTCTTAAATTCAATTACAAATTTTCTTAAAGTCGATAATAGTTCCAAGAGATAGAGCGTTTTCCAATTAAAAGGTCGTCCACTTTAGAAGTCCAGGGCTAGCTCATTTAAAGGCTGAAAATATCGATAGCAAAATCGGTAAATGTTTATAAAAAAATTGATAACGAAATCGATAAATATCGATAACAAAATAGAAAAATATCGACAACAAAATCCATAAATATCGGTAACAAAATCGATAAATATCGATAACAAAATCGGTAAATGTTGATAAAAAAATCGATATATACGGATAACAAAATCGATAAATATCGACAACAAAATCCATAAATATCGGTAACAAAATCGATAAATATCAACAACAAAATCCAAAAATGTCGGCGACAAAGTCGATAAATATCGATAACAAAATCTTTAAAAATATCGATAACAGAATCGACAAAAAATATCGCTAACAAATAGCTAAAAAATATCAATTACAAAATCGATAACAAATCGATAAAAATATCGATAGCAAAATGGTTAAAAGTATCGATTATTATGTTGATAGATTCCAAAAATATCGATAGCAAAATTGATAACAAAATCGATAAAAATTTCGATAAAAAAATATCGATTATTTTATCGATAAGTGCCGATAATCACGAAAATCTCTAAAATCCCATAATAGTTCCCAGATTGAGTCTCTGTGTCTCTCTCTAGATCCTTTCCTCTCTAATTACCTTTATTTTAATTCATCTTTACTTTTATCGGTATACTTATCCTCCTCGTTGTCTTTACTATTATGTTTATCATCTTCTTCATCTACATATGTATTCCCCTTCACCTTTGCCCTTATATATTGTATAAGTAAAGTGTTTAAATTTACCTTGGTCTTCATTTTTGCATTTATCTTTACGGATCTTTGTGTATGTTTTTATTTTTACCTTTGCCTTTATCCTTTTTTTATCTATGTACGTAGTCACCTTTACTTTCATTCTTGTATTGGTCTTTTTCTAAGTGTTATTCTTTAACCTTTTATGAGCAAATTTTTGTTAAATTAATACGACTTGCATACACACAGGAAGCACTTGTTTCAGCCCCAACTATTTCCGTTGCACGATTTCCATTGCGTCATTTCTGTTGCATCATTTCCGTTGCACCATTTCCGTGTGCAATTTCCGTTGAATTTGCCAATCCAACCAGCCAACCACCGCTAAAGAAGTTTCACTTCAAAAATGTCATATGCCTAATGTACATACATACATACGTACATATATACTTACAACAAATACATACGTGTACGCCTGTTGTTGGAGTAGGTGTTCACTTGTGTGGCGCTCCCCAGTTATGGCATACTTTTCGCACTGCACCATTGATGCACTTTTTTCTTTGGCTTTTTGTTGTTTCGATTGCTCTTGCAACAATTGCAAGAGGCCAAAGCTGAAAGAATTTGATTTAAATTTATTTTAAAAAGCCTCTGAGACATAATTTTACTGCCATTAACTTTATTGTAGCTGCAGTTTTTTTTTTTGTAGTCTTTGTGTTTTACTTGTTTTTGCTAAATATTTCTGTTGCTAAGTTGTATCTTTTTTTCTTGTGATTTGGGGAGCATAGTGTTGGTTTGAGTTGATAGTTGAGGCGTTACTTCAGCATTTTTGGACCAAATCAAGTTGACTTGAGTGGCGAATTTTGATTTGTTTGGAACTGAGTTGATAATGGTTTTGGTAACATTTTGCACAACGAAGCCAAACTGTGACTTAAATTAATTTTGCCAATTTTATGTAAGTATAATAATTGAAAAGGCTTACATGCAGATGATTTGAATGCATGGTGAGAAAATGTTGAGGCTAATCAAAATATGTCATTTTATTTTACAATGTAGTTTCGCGATTTATCATGTTTTTTATTCTAATTTGACAGTCAAGAAAATGAATGTACATACATATGTATGATTTAAACTATACGTGCTATGTATGTATATATTTCTAATTTGGACTCAAAGCATAATAATGCCCGCCCTGAGTCTCGAAGCTGGGTTGTCCATGAGCGACAGTAGCTCTTTACTCTTTGCAAGACGCTAAACGAACTATTTATCAAAAGTAGCAAATTTTTACGACAATGAGCAAAATATCCTCAAAGCAAAACAATTGTTTCCACACTTCTTGGAGCAATGGCACTCAACAAAGTAAGCGGCGACAGGTTAACTATATCTAAAGTCGGAAGATATATACTCTCTGAGAAATAGTAGGTGCAAAGACCTATAATCCTGTATGGTCTACAGGAGTGTGTGGCCCACCTACTGCGCAAAAGATAATGAATGATAATGATAATAAAGAAACTGAACAGGAGGGATCTATCTCAAAATCCCGCTTCTGCTGCTTTCTTTTCCGGTACGCATAAGTGCTAATTGGAGTTGTTAAACTCGCCATTTCAACCTACCAACGAAGGATTAAAAGGGTGCGCTATTCAAATGACGAGTAGTTTACTTCTGCCCCTAAAGAGCTTCTCTTAAGAGCCATTTGCCGTTCGCAGACGGCGAAAAACTGCAACTTCTTTCATTTTTTGTAGGAATATCAAGACGCGCACCCCAACTTCGTGAAGAAGCTCTGTTAAAAACGTAGAAATTCGTACGAAAAATGTGAAGAGGGATCAATTCGGAAGCAAATGGGAAATTGGCCCTGGCTTTGTGCCAAACAATGTAGGCTCAGATGCTTCAAATATTGAAAGCATTTCCATACGAAAGATGGTAAGCTTTGGCCTAGCACTTCACCAGCCCAGATTTGTCTGATAACCGTTCAGAATAAGCCAGGCAAGTTACCGTTATATCTCGATTTCCGAACCCTAACAATTCAAGTTGTGGATATAATACTTTTTATGCAAGAATTGGAGCTCCGTACCTAGGAATATTGGGATGTATGTAGCTCATACGGACCGGATTAATTCTTCTGGATTATTATCCGAATTCGAATATTGACTTCATTTGCTTTGGTGCTTGGACCGTTTGATTTTATTTAATTAAAAAAGGAGAAAACAAAATAATTTACAGAATATATTTAGGTAAAAAAAAACTTGTTATACAATGTTGTTCGATGTTAGCCGCCCAATTTTGTGTTTTCTTGATAAATTATTTGTAAAGACATTTCATCAGGATTTTTATCAAGTAAAAGCTCCCAGCGCATTCTGTGTAAATATTTATAAAATAAAAATCTCTAAGATAACGACAAGAGGGGAACAAAGCGCTTAAAGTTTTTCATGTATTTTATATGGGAAAACTCACTTTTCGAAGAAATGGTATGGAATTCTTGAAAATCAATATTTTTCGATCAGTGGTTCTCTTCAGGATACTTCCATTTAACAATTTTTTAATACTAACCTTTTTTTATAGTGCCCCATTGAATTTTTGGGGTTTTTGGCGGACCTATAAAGGGAATCTTCTTCGGAACAGCAGAGTTTTCCAATCAGAAAATATTGTTTTTTTAAGAATTCTATACCATTTCTAGGAAAAGTTTTTTTTTTTTATATAAAATACATTGAATACTTTGAGCGCGTTGAGCGACCTCTCAATATTTTTTGATTTATAAACAAAAATAGGGGTATATTTTTCTCGTTAAAGTACAATCTGAGGGGGTGAGAGCATAAAAATTCTGACTTTATTTTTTTTTCATGCGTTTTCTAAACACTCTGTCATCACGAATTGCGGCCGAGGGTTGTACGAGACCCCTACACCCAGCTTATCATGTTCCACATTTGATCAGTCTGATCTGGTCCTGCCCAGACTTGAGTCTTTGAAACGCGCTCTTCCTGTCCCACCGCACACACTTTTTTAAAGTTTGTTTACAAAAATATTTCGCAGTGTACCCTTTACGCTTAAGGTGTTTTACTTTATGATTATAGTTGTGTGGCTTGTTAAAACATTTTTCAGATTGTCACTCTTGAAAAGGTTATAAACAAATTTTGTAAGGTGCGCATTTGCACACGACACCAATGGAATGCGGCAAGCACCAAGCAAACAATTTTACATAATCACATACAATTTTTTTGTCTAATTGTAATTTATTTTAATTTTTTTAATTTTATTATTACAAGTAGATATGTAGTTAATTTATTAGTAATAGACACGCGTACTTATAAAGCACTTATGAATACTTTAATCACTGATTTTCACCAATCATTTCATCTCCTTCGCCGTACACGCACGTACATATGTACGTATGTATGTACATACAAATGTACGACTGAACGCACACCTCACTTCACTTCACTTCCACTGGTTGACGCCGCGCCACTTCAGCTGCTGCTTGTGCTGCTGCTGTAATTTCTTGTGGAATATTTGTACCTTGTGGTACAAAACCATTTTCGCCAGCAGTGTAACGCACCTCGATCAGCTGGCCATCGACATCAAAGTAGCGATACGAGCCGGACACTTCCAAAGTTTCTTCATCAGTGCCGGCATTCTTGACGATGCCAACCTCTTCGCGTTGACTACCATCGGCACCCTCATAGGAGAAGACGAAGGAGCCATCATCTTTGCGCTCAGCCACCGATCTGACAATTGGCACGAAATCCTTTACTTGCTGACCAACTACGACGGCGGGTTTGCCAATCGCTGCCGGTCGATCACGGATTGTGGCAGCTGTGGCGAAGGCAAAAGCTGAAACACAAATGAGCAGGAGTGCGCACTATAGGGAATAAATATAATGGAATAGTTAAACAAATGAATTATTTTGGAGATAAAACTAAAAACAAAAAAAAAATGCCTTCCCACTTACGGATTTAAGCATTTTTGTTTTATAAATGTTTCGGTAAATAGTAAATTAAATAATTAACAATAAACCGTCTGTTTTTCGCCTGAAGCTACTTTGCTGTCTAGAACAGTGTGAGTGTCTGTTGCAGCACATGGATGGGCACATCTCTTTTTATACTCGCAAGAAGCATCGTAAAAAGAACTTACCTCATTCTGCGTCTTCATTTTTTTGCTATCTTTTTTCACGCGTGTGAGATTAGTTTTTTTATTATTATTTTTGTTCTTTGTCACTCCCATTATATAATATTTGTAAATCTGCGCGGTAATTTATTGCTGAAAAAAAAATTATAAAGAAATTTGTTGTAGAATATGCAATGCGTAGAAATTTGTAAAAAAATTATATATTCACGCAGAACTTCTAATATGCTTAATGCTTAATTAATGGGTTTGTTGAACTGAATTTTTTACTGGATTGGATAGTGGAGAAAGTTATTGAGAAATATTATTAAAGCTATGATATGGAATTAAATTTCAATAAGCACGCGGCAACTTTGTGCGAGCACAATAATTTTGCATACATACATAAAGATATATATGTACTATATGTAGGTATATATCCGTCTTACTGTGTTTCTTAAAACTAATACCATTAACAAGCAATTGACAAAAAACTTAAATTCAATTATTTGAGGACATTTTATAAACTCTTGAATGTAAGAGTTGGACATAATTTATCTTTTAGTTTAAAAACTAAACATATAAAATTTTTTGTTAATTATATGTAGTTGGTAAAAAGTTTTCAAAAACTGGACAATAAAATGTTTACACTTACACCTTCTTACTTGGCGATGTGGTGCCTAAGCGAATTTTGCGAATTTTTGCATACGAGGCCAGCCAGCGGAATCCACGATGAACACTTTCACTAGCCTGGACCTGGGTCTCACAGATTCCAAGGACTAAGAAAATAATGAATACATGAGTCTTAAATGAAAAGATTTGATATTGAATTAACTGTTTTTTGTTGTAAGCAGGAAGCCAGCAGTTAATTTAATAATCAATACAAATAGCAATTTCAGTCGAGCTCGATAGTCTGTGGGACCGCCTGCGCACAGTTAAAGGATATGTGTGGCAAACAAAACAAACAGGCATATCTCTAATTCCAAACGAGCTGCTGTCGTAAATAAATCAACCGGAAAAATCTTGTTCCGACGTTTTCGTAGCTAGTGCTGCCAACTATATAAACTAAGCTCGCATTGCACAGTGGCTCAAAATTGGCATTTTGTCTTCACAAAGTCTTCATTTTTCAGTCTATTTGCTTATTATTTTTTTTTAATGTAAGCTAATAAAAATTTGCAAGCGACTGGTTGAACCCGATTTTTGAAGTATTCTCTATTTGTATTAATTTTTTTTATTGAAAATTGAAGAAACATTTAATTTTTAATTTTTAATTTCGGTTTTTCTTAATTATGAAAAAGCATGTGTGAAGTGCAGAATGAAAGCGTAATAAAACGACTGACTTTAAAGTGCTTTCCTAGGCTTCTCACAATACAAAAAAGAATATTAAAAACAAAAAATTTTAAATGTTATAAAAAAATTTTCACCAAAAATTTATTATTTTTTTTTTGTTTTTATAACAATTTTGGATATGCAGTTTTATAGATCATAAAATTTTTGTATAATAAAGTCCAAGTTGCAAGTGGCTAAGAGTTCGAGTTTATTTTGGAACGAATTTCCGTCATCCCGGTTTGTCTGCAAACCAAACTTGACAGAAATATATGTCCGTTCCATTATTTCGTGAAGAAAGAGTGTGTAAAAATTCTTTGGACGCACACGAAATAATGGCAATTTTTTCTTGAACGTTCTCTAAGGAGCTGGATTCTTAGCTTAAAAAGAAAAAACTGACAGTGGTTTAGATAAATATTTAGGAAAAAATTATAGGTATTTTTTTTTAAGGGATGTGGCATTAAATTTAAATGGTTGTAAATCAAACAAAGCAAATATATGCAAACTCCACATGCATTTATTGTAAAATATTCTAAAATAAGTGCAATAAATATGCAAAAACAAGGATTTTTTGCAAAATATGCAAAACTATACACTAACCTTTAAATGCCATTTTAAAGGAAATTCCATGATTTGTAAAAATAATTTAAACATTTCCATTTGAAGATGCCCGATAAAAACATTCATTTGCACGAGATTCCGAGCCCTAGTGATGAGTCTACATGGATAAAGTTATAACAAGCAAAAAAGGGGGCGGTAAGTTTTATAAAGCAATATCCCTAGAAAATCCAATTAAAATGCTTAACAATTTTATGAATTTTCGCGACTTTTCTAAACTTTTGACTTTGAAAGATAACATTAAATCAACAAAAAACCAAGTAATTCTTAAGCAAAAAATAACCGACTTCATTTCTCATATACAAATTTAGAGGTACCGTTAATTTCTTCAAGATCCGAAAAAACAGAAAAAGAAGAAAGACAAAAAAAAATTATCACTTTACGTGGTTTAAAGTTACGCGGTAACATATATATGTACATAAAAAAATATTCCGATGAATTGATAACCTCCTACTTTTTTTGAAGCCGGTTAAAAAAATACAAACCTTAACTAAATTTCCTGTCCTTATATGCCCGCGTTTTTGCAGTGTACGTATTTTATGCGTAGGTTTATTATTTGTAAACTCATATGTAATTTAGAAGGCAAACTGGGCTAAAAATGCCACGAACACATTATCGATTTTTATTTTAAATTGAAATAAAAAAAGAGTTTATAACTTGAAATTGTTAATTTTTTTCAGTGAACATAGATAGGCTATTTACAGCCGTTAAGCCAATTTTGAATTGTGTGTTTCTTCGAGTGTATTTTTAAATTAAGATTTTTTTGTGATGGAAAAGATATTTTTTTAATCTTTAAAATCTTATTTTGAAGATATTGTTGGGGAAAAAATTAAAATTTTTAGGGCACTTTCTCTGGCAACACTGGTTGTAATGCGTGGGTGGTAGTATCCAACTTCTCTTTAGGCAGCGGCAAGAATAGATTTGTATATTAATTCTCACCGTTCCTTAACAAATACATATCCCGTCGGTGAAGAGTTTTTTGTTGAAGTAGGATTGAGAGTCGATCCCAAAATTTCACGCCTCCACTACAAATTCCTTTCTTTCCACCAGAACTCGAGGCTTTACTCGGATTGGCAATGAGAACACAAGTGTCGGGAAACAGCAGTTTCTGCATTTAACATAAGAAGCAAACTAGCGAATGCTGGACATGGACATATCCACACATATGTATTTCGTTGAAGGTATAAAAGAATTTGTAGTTTTGTAATTTCGTTTAGTTGCGAGAACATTCAATTATAAATCAATTTGTTCTCCGGGAGCTTTGCGTTGCGAACTAATTCTTTGATTAATGGCTAACTTTTTAATGAAGTTTTGGTTGCGTCAAAGTTTACTTCTTCATGGATTCACTTTTGAAAGAGATCAAGGTCATTAGGAAGCTATTATTATTAATTGCATACTGAACACATTTACACAAAGCTTTTTAACAAGATTACTTGCACACTGCGTTGAATAACAAAGTTGAAGCTAACGTAAAAACATCTGAGTGAAATCAGTCGCTTTTTTGTTTATGTTTTTTCTTTGTTTTTCAGATATTTGAACTTCAAGTCCACTAAAATTTTTTCTTAAAAAACTGTAAGTGTTAGGCCACAGATGCCAAAGAAAACAAAACAAACTGAAAGGAGGCGCCTGCTACAAGTTAAAAAATTTATGAACAGAAAGCTTACTAAAACAACAACAACAATCATATCGATTCCTAACCAAGAAAAAGTCGTAAGCGACATTTTTGTTTTCAAAATTTTCTTTTGATGCTGAAATGTTCCTAGAGCATCTAATTTACTTCCTTACTTTGGTAAGTTATCTTCACTAGAAAAACGATTTTCAGGTACGACACAGTTCATAAACATGGGTATGAATTTTTTCGCAATTTAAAAGAATGGTTGGTAGACTTACAAATAAATTGCATATCTCAAAAGATCCTGAGACCCAGTTTCACACTCAACTTGGGTTTTACGCTTCATTGGCTTTCAATGCACCGCCTTAGTGAGAACTTTTGTATCCATAAAAAAGTAAACACTTTTTAATTAAAACTCTTTATTAATTTCGTAACCAAAACCTTTATATGGATATGTATTTAATTTTAAGAATTTTTTTCTGAAAAATTTCTCACATACAAATTTTTGATAAAAAACATAAGTTTTTGAAAATACGCCATCTCAAAAGCAAATTACAAAAATCACAATACTAGCTCTGAGTATTGCGCAAAAGCTTAGTGTAGTATTATAGGGTGCACTCTACAATAATTTGAGTTATGAATTTTTTTACACCGAAGCTGAGTAAAATGGGTATATTACAAATTTACAAATTTTTTAATTTTTTTTTAGATTTTTTTTTTGAGTATGCGATTGCTAAACTGGCGTTAATTTTTTTTAATTTTCTTTGAAAACAGTTTTGCGCATTTTCTTCCATAAGAGAAAAGTGCAAAAAGCCGTCAGCAACAAATTATCAGAAAGCAACGCAATTTTGCAGTAGCTTAAAATTGCTAATTCTAAAAAATATTTAAAAAATTTGTAAATTTGTAAAAAAAACATCATAACTCAAATTATTGTAGAGTACACCCCGTAATACTATACTTAAATATTGCGCAATACTCAGAGCTACCATTGTGATTTTTTTCAATTTTTTTAATTTTTTTTTCTGAGTTGGCATATTTTCAAAAACTAATTTTTTTTCAACAAAACATTTTTATGTGAAAAATTTTTCAGGAAAAAAATTATTAAATATTTATTTTCATAGAGAATTTCGATGTGTGTATGTTTGATTTTTTCAAATTTTTACCTCGCCCCTTTCTCGAGATATTCGGAAAACTTTTGAATCGATTTGTTTTTGTTTTTGTGCTGTAAAGTTTTTAAAAATGTATTAATGAAGCTCATATTACATATTTATTTATTATTTACGTTTATGCGTCAACCCTCAAAATTTGAAACAAATCAAACACATGAAGTGTGAACGCCGTCCGTTTTGGTATGGAACGCCCCATATACACATACACTACCGGCCATATCAATAGCGCCCCAATTTCAAAATTATGTTGTTGGCCACTTACGTTAATTTATTTCTATTTAAGAATTTTCATTTAAAATACAGTTCATTATCTAACATAACCC